AAATTCCATATGATATTTTGGGGCGTAGAAATTGTGTTTTATAGATTTTAGATGGATTGTATAGGGTTTTTGAAGACATAGGAATTTTTTGACCTGCCTTTTTTTTTTTTTTTTGGCCAAACTAATAGTCATATGTCACATCCCATCCCGGTCTCTTAAAGATGAGACGCGACTAAGTTTTTATTACACCTGTATCAATTGTTTATTTCTCAGGTTATAGACATATACAAAATTCCACACTCACATAACATACATCACAAAGTATGTTTATTGAGTCTCTTTACAAATATATACTAATAACTTGTCATAATAATTTCTCACAAATATAGTATATAACTCAGCAATTAGTTATACAGACACTCAATCTGAGTGATATCATACTAATGTTATACAAGACTCAATTGACTGAACAATGGACTGGTCTGCAACTTCCTCTATAGTACCTAAAAAGGAGAAGTTATAGGGGTGTGAGTTAAACCATGCGCTCAGTAAGTATACATGTTGTATATGAAATGGAAATGATAATAATATATTAAAGTAGATAGATACATGTATCAAACAACAACATCAATTTAATTCTAATGAATTTACAAGTCACATCACATCCATATTATCCCTCATCAGGTAATCGATCTCACATGGATCCATATACCCCGAACTTCCCGGGAACACCATAGTGCTAGCACACCATTGCACGCCCAGTGATCAGGCATCGACGGCCTTGTCTCAAACAGTGCGCCATATTCCACAATACACAATATACAGTACAAAACATCATTCAATTACATAAATACGTAACACATAATCTTGGAGAATTGTTATTAACTTCTATCATTTACTATCATCTTATAATAACATATTCAAAACATATAAAGATATACACTCACCTCAAATGTACAAATCTACAGCCTTTCAGTCTTATCGGTGGATCCTTTTGATGTTACCGTATCTGTTTCAACACCGACTGTCTCACTCATTCCACCTAACACATTTGTAATTACAATATCAATATGTTTATCACATTTAATAATTAATCATGCACTAGTACAAGTATGCAAAATAATTCAAGCTAAAGTGTCCCTGTAACCACGGTTATTGTACTGTCCACTCATATACTGGTACATTAGAGTTAAGAATAACATTTCCTTCCCAAATTTTTAAAATCACTCACATTAATCACAATTAAGATTAAGTAGGTGAAACACATTGACCAGGGGCCCATTTTCACACATTTTGACCTTGAATTTTAAAAACTGTACTTCCGACATTTCATACATTTCACACCGGATATTATGTTCATTTGCATTCAAAATTAACATTATCTCATCAAGTATCATTTAAAAATGCAGCATGCAAAATTTTAGGTCATTTGGATTAAAATATACACATGTGATAATAACATTTATAAATCAAAGTTTCGGCGTTACCGACACTCATTTTCAATCTCTATCACATTTTTCTTTTAACACAGTCATACTTAAACAATTTAATCATACAAAACAGGCTCTTCCTTGAACTCTTTAACTCCCTATTTCACTCCCATAATTTCAGTTTCAACCTAGCATACGAAAAGCATCCCTAGAGTTTGTTTTTCATACTTTTTTCACACCCATTGTATACCTATTTTAAACCCATTCTTAACAACCCCTAAATTATGTTAACTCAATTAAACTCATACAAGATCTCTTTTAAACTTAAAATAAAACAGCCCACAAAACAATTTATGAAACTAATTAAAACAGCTCATTAAAATAAAATAACTCATATATTTAAATTAAAACAGTCTACCAATTTAAAACAAGTCAGCCCACACATATACATACATAGTAAAATTTATCTCACGCACAAGCTTAAACTTAATGCCACATATCTTGATTTTTTTTTTCCTTCTCTTCCTCCTTGCTTTCGGTTCAAAGGAACACACACCTACATTTTTTTTTCTCTCTCTCTTGCTCTCCTCGCTCACGGTTCCAGAAACTAGCACACACACACACACATATGTTCCCTTTTCTTTGTTTTTACTCTCCCTCTCTCTCGATTTTTCAGTAAAGCAAGAACACACACACACAGGCTGTTTTGTATTTTAAACACACACGCACACACACACATACACGACACATACATGACACACATTTCCAGCCACCCAACACTTAATATAACTTACCCATTTTTTATGCCAACACATGTAAAGGTAATTCATATTAATGGGTTAATTACGCTTGCCTCTCTCCAAGTTTTTAAGTGATTTCAAAATTGACTCACTAGTATTTTCACACATGAAATTTCTATGAATGGATCTCACAAATACATCACTAACGGAGTCTAACAACTCAATGTGTGCTCACACACATCATGCCTATGAAAGATTTAATTTAATTAACCTTTTAATAATTTCACATATATTACAATTTAGCCCACAAAATTATGCTAATATGCATGCAATGCATAATCGAGTCTTACAACTCTCTCATACTAATAAAAATTTCATCTTCAAAATTACTTACCTGCATTAAACAAATGTGGATATTGAGCCCGCATACTCTTTTCAGTCTCCCAGGTTGCTTCCTCTACTGAGTGACTATGCCACAAAACCTTTACCAACAGTATCGTCTTCGTGTATAATATTTTCTCCTTTCTACCCAAAATTTGAACAGGCAGCTCTATATAAGTCAAATTCTCGACTAATGTTATCGGTTCTAAAGTCAACACGTGATGGGTCAGGCAAGTATTTTCGTAGTATAAAAACATGGAATACATCATGCAATCTGGACAACTCCATTGGTAACTTCAACCGACATGCAACAGCTCTAATCCGTACTACAATGATGTATGGACCAATATACCTAGGAGCCAACTTTTCTTTCCTGCCAAAACGAATGATCCCTTTCCAATGTGATACCCGTAGGAATACTCGATCACCCACCTCAAATTCCAAGTCACGACGTCGATTATCTGCATAACTTTTCTGCCTAATCTGTGCATTCCATAATTTCTCCTATATAAATTTAATCTGATCAGCAGTCATCTGCACAATCTCTAGACCCAATAACTTCCTCTCACCCACTTCACTCTAGCACACTGGGGTCCTACACTTCCTTCCATACAAAGCTTCATATGATGTCATCTCAATTGAACTCTAGTAGTTGTTATTATAAGTAAATTCAATCAAAGACAAAGACTTATTCCAATTACCTTTAAGGTCTATGATACAAGCTCTTAGTATGTCCTCCAATGAGTGAATAGTACATTCTGTCTGTCCATCTATTTGTGGGTGGAATGTTGTACTAAATTTCAAAGTAGTGCCCAAAGCAGTCTGTAAGTTAGGCCAAAACCTCGAAATAAAGCGTGGATCCTTGTTAGAGATAATAGATACAGGTACACCATGCAGTCTCACAGTCTCATCAATGTACAATCTTACTAGCCTGTCAAGAGAATAGAATATTTTAACAGCTAAAAAATGTGCAAACTTTGTCAACCTATCAACTATCACCCAAATGGTCTCATGTCCTCTCTGTGTGCGGGGCAAATTCTTCACAAAATCCATAGCGATATGTTCCCACTTCCATTCTGGAATCGATAGAGACTGTAATAACCCGGCTGGTCTCTAATGCTCAGCCTTCACATGTTGACATACCAAACATCAAGCCACAAACTCAGCTATCTCTCGTTTCATCCCAGGCCACCAATAATGCTCTCTCAGGTCACGATATAACTTTGTACTACCTGAATGCATAACATATGCTGAACTGTGTGCTTCCTTCAGAATTTCTTTTTTTAACCCTGTATCATTAGGTACACATAACCGAGAACCAAGTAACAAAACATCAGCTTTGTCAACAATAAAATCAGTCTTTATCCCAGTCTTCACCTCTTTCTTCAATTCTTCAATTTAGAGATCAAACTGTTGTGCCTCTCTGATTTTGTCCACCAGTACAGGTCTTAAAGTCAGTATAGCAAGTAAAGTTATAGTCTTTTCTATCCTTAACTGCACTCTTAAAAATTTTAAATTCACAAATAAATCTCTCCGAATCACTTGCAAACTAGCCAATCTATTTGATATTTTTAACTCAAAACATCTGCCACAACATTTGCTTTTCTTAGTTGGTAATAAATAGTGCAGTCATAATTCTTAATAAGCTTAATCAAGTGTCGATGCCTCAGGTTCAACTCTTTTTGGGTAAACAGATATTTCAAACTCTGGTGATCTGTATAAATCTCGCATATAACCCCATATAGAAAATATCTCTACAATCTCAATGCAAATACAATAGCTACAAGTTTCAAATCGTGGGTAGGATAATTGCACTCGTGGTTTCAATTTTCTGGAGGTATAAGCTACCATTCTATCATGATGCATCAACACATAACTCAAACTTTGATGTGAAGCATCACTATAAATCACAAACTCATCACTACCTGACGGAATGGTCAATACTGGTACAATCGTCAATCTGATCATTAACTCCTAAAAACTTTGCTTGCATCTATCAGACACTACAACAAAAAGTATTTTTTGTGACTTTTTTTTTTGCGACGATTTTATAATTTTGTCGTAAATTTCAATTTTGACAATTTTTTTGCGACATTTTTAAAAAAAAAATCGCAAAAAGGCGATTCCCTCCTAATTGATTTTGGCGGAAGAAATGGCAAGAATTGACAAATTAATTAAAAAATAATAATGTAATTTATTTTTTGCGACGTTTTTAAAAAAGACGTCTCCAATAAATTTTTATATAAATAAAAAATTTTAAAAATAATAATTAAATTAATTTTTTGTGATATTTTTCTAAAAAATTTAAAAATAAAAGAAATTTGCCAATAAATTTTTACATAAATAAAAAATTTTAAAAATAATAATTAAATTAATTTTTTACGACGTTTTTAGTCGTTTAAAAATGTCACCAATAAATTTTTAGGTAAATAAAAAATTTTAAAAATAATAATTTCCATTCCATAAACCCTGCATTTCTCTGTGTGTCTCTGCACTTATTCGAGTAAAAATGAATAGCCTCCGCCTACTAAGAAAGTCGGCAACGCCATGCTCAAAGCGACTCACACTTGCCTCCATCATCAACCCTGGCGCGACTCTTCTATCGCCATCAACACCCAGAGATGCTCCTATTAGTACCAAAAGTCACTACTTTTCCACCTCCACCACTTCTATTAGACAGCAATCGAAATCTCTCGAGTGGGTCAGAGGCAACTATGGAGTTCTAACGAGGAATTTTCATGTAGGTGGTGGGTCATTGAATTTCAGGGCTTCCGAAGTGTTATCTCAGGCGGAACTTGCGTTCGCCAATTTCTCCGATGAAGATAAGTCGTTGGGAGCAAGTGGTGCCGTTGATGATGGTCTTGAGATATCGAAGCTTGGGATTTCTGGAGAGATCGTTCAGGCTTTGGCTAAGAAGGGTATCGCTAAGCTCTTCCCTATTTAGGTATACTTTCATTTTACAATTGTACTTGTAATTAATTGTTTTTTCCTAAAATAAAAGCTATGGGTTGTCTTTTTTTTGCGATGATGTACATAATTTGTGTTTTTATTTTTTGGCGGTGTTGATTTGTGTGTTTTGCAGTATGTATTTATATTATAGCAAACAAATGAGGTGGGAGAGGCCTTCCTCATTAATATCTGATTAGCTTCCATGACACACTTGATGCATCTGCACATTGATATGTGTAAAGCCTCTTGCGGTGAAATGAGACAAAAACCTCTTACCTTATTCCATAGCATAATTAAGCCAAACAATTATGAAGAGAGTTATGTGAGAGGGACCACATTCCAGAATTTGAAAGGGAGAATGCAATTTAGTGTCGAGAGAGGAAGAGTTCATTGTGATTCCTAGGGAATAATTTAGATAGCGAAAGTTCCTAATTTTTGGTTTGCATTGTTTGCGCTTCTTATCATTCTCTTTTTGTGTTATCTAGTGTTGATGAGTTGTGGAAGCTTTTGTCTGACAAGGATGCATATCGTATTTTGATTCTTTCTGTTGACCTTGTGAAAACTCAGAACAAGGTGAGTTCTGAATCATTCTTTTTTATGTGTTCCCCAATACCTCATATTTGTAACGTCTCTCTGGTGCGTGTGACTGTCAAACTGGCATGTTTCTTTGACTTTCCAAATAGGACTTTACTGGACTACACAAGGGGTTTTATCTTTTTCCATTCTGGATTTTTAGTTACTTCTATTGAGCATTTATAAAAATTAACAATGCTAAGATTTGGAAACTGTAAATAGATTAAGGCACTTCTAAAGGAACGATTAAATGGAAAAGCTGCAGGAGGATCAAGTGAGAAATCGGAACCTAGTGCATCTGTAGAACTGAATTCACGTAACTTTGATGAGTTGGTTCTTAAAAGTAAAGATCTTTGGATTGTGGAGTTCTTTGCTCCTTGGTAAGTTTTACTTGCTTATAATGGGTTAGATGGTTCATCCTGTTCCCTTGGATGATTCTAAGTTAGCAATAGTTGTGTGATTATTCTTTCAATGTCTGCATGTTGCTGCAGTGCTTATTGAAAAATTGAATATTTTTAGATTGCATACAAAAATATTGTTGTTGCCTTTGCCAAGTAATGCATGCCATTGAGAAATTGTACTAAACACAAGCTGGTGCGTTTTTGCATAGGATCTCAAGAGAATTTGATATCATAGTTAATGGGACACTGTAAAATTTTATACACTGATGAAGATTGTATCATGGAGAGGCCTAACTGTAGGATAAATCCTGAGTAGGTCTCAGAATCCCTCCAGTCCATGATTTTGTAAAAGCAAGCAGTTTTGATTGTGATGGAACTAAATCTTCTTAGAATAAATGGATACCATCCTTGTATAGGAACAGAAAGGCAAAGAGGCTTCAATGTTGTGTGTCATTTCATTTTTGTTGTTCAACTGATTATGAGGTAACATTTGCAAGTGAATATGTTTTTTTTTGGAGAATATACATAGATAAATGTTTTAATTTTCGAATCTTTTTATGCCCTTCAACTTTTGTGTCTTATGGATTTAATAATTACTATTATTTATTTGGCTTCTCTTATTCAAGGTGTGGACATTGTAAGAAGCTTGCGCCTGAGTGGAAGAAGGCTGCAAACAAGTTGAGGGCAAGGTAAAGCTCGGTCATGTCGACTGTGATGCGGAGAAGGTAATTTTAGGAATTCTGATGTTGGCCTGATATTTTCTCATGTTATTAAATTTGGTTTCTGTTGTAATGATTATGTGCCACATCATTGTTCCGTAAGAAATAATCACTATGTATAACTAACTGACTTATCTTTACTTTTGCGAACCAATTTTTGACATCTTAGATTTGGGTTGGAAAGTTGAAGATGTCCAGTATAAGCAATAACTTTGAGTATACAGATATTGGGGTTCAAATGAAAAAAAACCATCATTTAGGATATTAAAATTGAATTCTAATTGCATAGCCTTCTCTCTATATTTACCCGAGTCTTTCCTCGTTTGACCGATACCATCTGTTGAGCTTGGAGATGATATTTCAAGGCATGAAGCTGGACTGTTGTGTTCAAGTTTAAGAGACATTACATGTAATTAGAGATGGTTTAAATCCTCTTGAAGGATTAAAACCATTTTTTCTATTTTTAGAATTTCCTATTCTTTCATTTTTGTAATTCATTTTTTTGGAAATAAAATTTTATTTTTTTTAAAAAAAGATGTAAAATGTATTAATTGTGTTAGTTTTTTATTAAACACAGGTATTATTGGTCTACCGATGAAAAATTTTATTGGAATATCATTTTTTATGAATTATTTTTTTAAAAAAGAACTTTTTTGCGATGAAATTAAAATCGTCGTGCAAAATTGTAGGAATAATTTGTTTCGCGACAATTTTTATACGTCGTAAATGTATTTATTTAATTATTTTTTATATTTTTTATTTATGTAAAAAATTATTTGCGACGATTTTTTTACGTCGCGAAAAATTAATTAAATTATTATTTTTTATATTTTTATTTATGTAAAAAAAATATTCGCGATGATTTTTTTAAGTCGCGAAAAATTAATTAAATTTTTATTATTTTTTTTTAACGTTGGTGGAATAGATTTTAGCAACGTTTTTTTTTTCGTCGCAAAAAATTTGTTTTGCGATGAAAATAAAATTGCGTAGCAAAATATTTTATGCAACGAGGCTATTGTGACGAACACGTGACGAAAAAAAAACGTCGCAAAAAATAATTGGCGAGGATTTTTTTTAATTTAGCGATGAAAAAAATCTTCACAAAAAATAATTTTTGTTGTAATGAGACCACTCAAATTTCATATTCTTTTGAGTCAATCGGGTCAGGGGCATAGCTATAATGGAGAAATTATGTACAAATCTCTAATAGTAACCTGCCAAATCCAAAAAACTCTAAATCTCTATAATTGTCTTCGATCTCTCCCAATTAACTACAGTATCAATTTTAGCTGGATCAACACATACACCATCACACTACATGCCCTAAAAACACAATTATGTCCAACCAAAATTCACATTTGCTGATTTTGGCAAATAATTGCCTATTTTTCAATGTCTGCAGTACCACCCTCAAATGTTGCGTATGCTCCTCTTCACTACGGGAGAATAACAATATATCATCAATGAACACTATCACAAATGAATCAAGATATGATTAAAATATTTGATTCATTAGATCTATAAATATAGGAGCATTAGTCACACTAAAAAACATCACCAGAAATTCATAGTGTCCATACCAGGTTCGAAAAGCAATCTTCGATATATCACTATTCTTTACTTTTAATTGATGATATTCTGATCGAAGATCAATCTTTGAAAAAACTTGGGCACCCTGTAATTGGTCTAAAAAATCATCGAAACGTGGCAATGGATACTTGTTCCGGATAGTCACTTTATTCAGCTATCTATAATCAATGCATAATCTCATAGTGTCATCTTTCTTCTTTACAAATAATACTGGTGCATCCCAATGAGATATACTAGGCTGTATAAATCCTCGATCTAACAAATCTTGTAACTGCACTTTAAATTCCTTAAATTCAGCTGGAGTCATCTTATATAGAGTAATGGATATGAGACTAGTTCTTAGCACAAGCTAAATAGTAAATTTCACCTCCTGTTTCACTAGTAACCCTGGTAACTCTTCAGGAAACGCATCAGCAAACTCATTAACCACATAAATATTCTTTAATTTAGGAGTATCTCTTTGAGTATCTTTCACATAAGCCAAGTATCCATAGCATTATTTCTTGAGTAATTTTTTGGCTTTAATTGTTGATATCAAATTTTTCGGCTCAGGGCGTCGCTCTCCAAAGAACTGAAAAAAAGGAACATGTGAGATTCTAAATACTACTTATTTACGAAAACAGTCAATAGTGGCATGATATGGAGACAATCAATTCATTCCTAATATCAAATCAAAGTCCTAGAATTCAAAAGGTAACAGATCTGTAGGTAATTTTCTATTACCTACTTGAACCAGGCACTCCCTATATACTACCCTAGCGGTCACACAATCACCTATGGGAGTAACTATAGTCAATCCACAGTCTAATGGAGTAAGTGGTCTATTAACATGCATGGAGAATGACAGTAATACAAATGAACGTATAAAATTCGGATAAATTTAAATTTTTTATGAGAAGGGGTAAAATAATAATTTGCCACTACAGTGTGGGTTGAAAACCCGTATTTCTCTAGAACTCAAATGACGCAACGGATCTCACCGTTGGTTTTATCTCACGAAATCTAATTAACCAGACAATTTTTGTTGAATTATAAAATAATCATATTTTTTACGTTTTACGAGACGGTTGGGTGTTGGGTGACCTCAAAGAGGTCTCCCCAAAATAAAATTTATAAAATTTTATTATAATTTAATTTAAGTTCATATAAAAATAATTTGAATTTAAACCGAGACGAAATTAAGTCGTTTCAAAACAAAAACGGACTCGAAAATAGGAAACGTGCGGCACGATGTGGACCGCGTGATTAAAGGGTATAAATGGGGAGAAATATCTGATTTTCTCCACACATATCTACTAGGTTCTTGCGTTGGAAGAGAAGAGAGGGAAAAAAGAAGAAAAATCAAAAGTTTCACCTTCTCTCTTTGATCTACGGACCTCTGTTGGTTGAATCGGCTCGAACTAAGTGTTAAAGTCGATCACCTCAACGAGAGCTACGCAATCATACAAAAAACGAAGGATTTCACCGAAGATCAAAAGAAGAGATTTTTGGGAAATCAAGAGTTTTGGGCTTAGGAGAAATATCTGATTTTCTCCACACATATCTACTGGGTTCTCGTATTGGAAGAGAAGAGAGGGAAAAGAGAAGAAAAATCAAAAGCTTCACCTTCTCTCTTCGATCTACGGACCTCCGTTAGTTGAATCGACTCGAACTAAGTGTTAAGGTCGATCACCTCAACGAGAGCTACGCAATTATACCAAGAACGAAAGATTTCACCGAAGATCAAAAGAGGAGATTTTGGAGAAATCAAAAGTTTTGGGCTTAGGAGGTACCCTTGAAGTTCTCTACACTACATTGTACGTTGTAAGAGGTAGGATTCTCTCCTACTTTAGTTTATTTCTAACCTAGGATATCCATATGAGATGTGTAAGTGTATAGCTATATATGTCACTTGTCTAGTGTTATGGAAATGAGGAAATGAGTATGGAAATGACTTAAACCAGTTTCTAGTTAAATTTGGTGTAGGGAAATTACTTGTGTAATTCTTGGAACTTGTATTATGTGGGAAAAATTGTGTGATAACATGATTTAGTGTTTTGAAGGTGTTTTTCTAAATGTCTACGTGAGAATTAAGTTTGTTATGGCATGGATTATGTATGACATGCTTGAGAATATTGTAATTGAATAAATAAGTTGATATATGTTGTTAATATATTAGCATCATAATAGTTTGTGGTAATTATATGTTTGAGATATAAATTGTCATGGGATATGTTGATATGCGGTTTAAATTGCTCATTTGACATTCATTGTATATTGGGCATGAAGTTGACATCACATTCATGGACATTAGACATGAGTGTGGGTGTGTGTACATAGTTTAATCAAACACTACTCTTGGTGCTGGATAAGTGGATTTGGTAAGGTTGGATCAAAGATCCGACCGAGTTGTATGTTGCATGAAAAAACTTATGCCGGGTACAGCAAGAAGGGTTAGATACGCCCTTGGGTGCATGACCCCACCACTTGGTTCATACACTCCACTTAGGTGAAATTTCAAAAAAGTGTAACGGTGTGTGGAACCGGTGGTGAGACTCCGAGAATTCGAATACCCAAATAAAAACACATGAATTTGTTTTGTAAAATAGTTATTTGGTGTGAAACATCAATGACAAGGGCCTGGAATGCCATAGGTTTCTCATACATGTAGCATTGCATGGGTTGAAAGGGGTCGGTGAAGGCTCGGAGTAAATTGTATGAGTGAGTCTCATCTCATTTCATGGCATGACATGGTAGAATTTCTACATTGAATTGCATATTCTTAATTAGAATGAATGATACTTGTTGATTGTTATATGTGCATATTTCATATGCATTTAGGTTGGGGAGTAATCTCTGTAGGAAATATTCTATTGAGTGTGGCTCATCCTATATAGGAAAATATTTCAGGTGCGGGATATACGTCGGTGAACGGCTCTCACTCAGGGCCTAGAGGATGAAGAGAGGCTGACTTGTGGCCTTTAATCCGTATTTTGTAAAACATTGTGAATTTTATGTTTTGGAGATGTAATCGTATGAAAATGATTGTAATAGAATTTGTAATAACTATGTTTGATGTGCAAATATAATGTTATATGAGTTTGGGTAGATTTTGGAATGAATTGAAAAGTAAAAACAGGTGAAACAGGTAAATCTGGGCAAAACCTACCAGTAGAACATGGTCTAGAAGGCAAAATCCAACTGGTAGAACATAAATTTATCAGTAGAACTTTTTCAGTAGATAAAACCTACCGATAGGTCCATAAAAATCTACCGGTAAAAATTTTTCCGAGGACAACCTACCGGTAGGTCCATAAAAACCTATCGGTAGATTTTCCAATAATTCGAGATTTTAAGAATGCTTTGTCAGGCCTTTGAGCTCTGTGTTCTCTCATTTTAAGAATAGAAATGGAGTATAAATTGTGGTATATTAGACCTCGATTTAGTCAAATGGTAAAAGGTACACGGGTTACAAACGTGGGTTATGATCCCAGTTAAGGGGATGTTATTGACGTGATGATGGATTGTATGACAATCACGGGTATTTTTATGGGTTGACCGGTAGTCGGTTTAAAAACGACCCCCGGTTTTAGGGGTGTCATAAAACTTGTGGCACCTGAATCTATAAGTACTCGTGCCTGTTGACCAAAAATAGATATCATACCTGTAACCACATCCGGGGTCGCCTGAGCATCCCGCTGGGTAAGTCCAAAGACACGACCTCTAGCCTCAGGCCCATTCGGTCCACTGCCACTAGCACCGTTACTTCCAGTGCCATATCCAGTACTGCCTCCTTGTCCTTGACCTCTGCCACTTGCTGCTTCTCGCGACACCGTAGATGTACTGTCCATCGATGAACTCTGGTAGAATATTGCAGACAATTTCTCTGCATATGTCCCTCTTGGCCACATAAAAAGCAATGCCATGATGCAGTAGGTCTTGGTCCTCCGATAGGATAGTTTTGTACAATGTGCCAAATTTGCTCGCAACGGTAACAAGTAACTACACCCCCTCGAGATTGTCCCATTTCTCGACCCAGTACAAATGAAGATGATCCACTGACTCCCTGTCCTTGACTCTGGAATGGAACTCTTAATTTCTTCTTACTTGCACCCTTCGACAACATTCCTCTCCAGGCTCTACTAAATAAACTTCCCTTGGAACCCAGTCCACTTAGCTCATATCTTTCTCTTTTTGCCTACTCACTTGCACTTTCCATCTCTTTCAGATTAGCTTCTACAATCAGGGTTTTGTTGTATAATTATGAAAATGTTGTTAATTCCAACATCGAAACACGGGATCTAATATTATAATGTAGCATCATCTAGAATCTTATGCATCTTTCCTCCTTATCTGCTACAGCATAAGGTATAAATCTGGACAAAGTACTAAATTTGCCCTTGTATTCCAGCATTGACTGATTTCCCCGCTGCAAATGTAAAAATTCATTTTGTTTCTGATATCAATAACTCAAGAGAAAATACTTCTTATCAAAAGTATCTGTAAACTGCTGCCATGTGAAAACTTTAGGAACTAAACTGGCCTCCCATTCAGTGCACACTGGCAGCAATGCTCTCTCCATAGCCTCCCATCAATATTGGGCCTCATCTGCTAGCATAAAAGTGGTCAACAACAATTTATCTTCCTCACCAACTCTCATTACTTTGACAATCTTCTCAATGCATCGTAACTAATTTTCTGCTTCCAATGTACCTGCAGTTCTCGTAAATATTAGTGGATTGAGTTTTTTAAATTGCTCGTATAATGTACCCTTAGGCTTCACTGCCTTCACTCGTATTGTGTGTTGTTCAAATATTTAGTTGCTACCTCCCACAATTGCTTAGCCCCTTGATCTCCTAGTTCTTCCTCCACCTAGGGTTTTTTTCCCTATCTCCAGCCCGAGCAAAAGGCCCTTCTCCCTCCATGTATCACTGTAACAAATGTGAGTATTGTATATGGGTCATGATAGCATGCAGTATATATTCCACACACTCACATGAACTTCTAACACCCCACCTAACAGACCAATCCCTAAATTCACTGTCACACTAGACTCAACTCAACTACTGAACTATAAACTTTAGCTTTGATGCTAACTAAATTGTCACGCCCCATCCCGGTCTTTCAAAGATGAGACGCGACTAAGTTTTTGATACACCTGTATCATTTGTTTATTTCTCAGGTTATAGACATATACAAAATTTCACATCCACATAGCATACATAACAAAGTATGCTTGTTGAGTCTGTTTACAAATATATATTAATAATCTGTCATAATAATTTCTCATAAATATAATATATAACCCAGAAATTAGTCATACAGACACTCAACCTAAGTGATGTCACACTAATGTTGTATAAGACTCAATCGACTGATCAGTGGACTGGTCTACATCTTCTTCTATAGTTCCTGAAAAGAATAAGTTATAAGGGTGTGAGCTAAACCACGCGCTCAGTGAGTATATATACTGTATATGAAATGAAAATTATAGTAATAAACTAAAGTAGGTAAAATACTATATAGATACATGTATCAAACAATAGCATTAATTTAATTACAACGAATTTACAAGCCACATCACATCCATACTACCTCTCATTGGATAATCGATCCCACATGAATTCATGTCTCCTGAACCTCCCAAGAACACCACAGTGGTAGTACACCACTACACGCCCAGTGATAAGACATCGATGTCCCTGTCTCAAACAGTGCGCCACATTCCACAATACACAATACACGGTACAAAGCATCATTCAATCACATAAGCATGTAGCACATAATTCTGGAGAATTGCTATTAAATTCTATCATTTACTATCATTTTATAATAGCATTTTCAAAACATATAAAGATATACACCCACCTTAAATGTACAAATCTACGACCCTTCGGTCTTATCGGTGGATCCGTACCCAAAGTGTCCCGATAACCCCGGTTACCGCACTGTCCACTCACATACTACCACATTAGAGTTGGGAATCACATTTCCTCCTCAAATTTCTAAAATCACTCACATTAATCACAATTAGGATTAAGTAGGTCAAACACATTGACCAGGGGCCCATTTCGATCTCAAATCTTAAAAACTGCACTTCTGGCATTTCATACATTTCGTACCTAATATTATATTCATTTGCATTCGAAATTCACATTGTCACATCAAGCATCATTTAAAAATGCAGCATGCAAAATTTCAAGTCATTTGGATTAAAATTTACACATGTGATAATAACATTTATAAATCAGAGATTCAACGTTATCGACACCTATTTCCAATCTCTATTGCATTTTTCTTTTAACACAACCACACTTATACAATTTAATCATACAAAACATGCCCTTCCTTGAACCTTTTAACTCGCTATTTCACTCTCATAATTTCGGGTCCAACCTATTCCAGGAAAAATATCTCAAGTGTTCGTTTTTCATACTTTTTTCACAGCTATTGTATACCTATTTTAAACTCATTCTTAACAGCCCCTAAATTATGTTAACTCACTTAATTAAACTCATACAAGATCTCTTTTAAACTTAAATAAAACAGCTCACAAAACAATTTATGAAATTAACTAAAACAACCCATTAAAATTAAAATAAAACAGCTCATTTATTTAAATTAAAATAGCTTACTAATTTAAAACAAGTCAGCCCACACATATACATACATAGTAAAATTTATCTCACACGTGTTTAAACTTAATTCCACGTACTTTGATTTTTCTTTCCCTCTCTTCCTCCTTGCTTTCGGCTCAAAAGAGCACACACCTACATTTTTTTTTTCTCTCTCTCTTGTTCTCCTCACTCAGGTTCCAGAAACCAGAACACACACACATATATTCCCTTTTCTTTGTTTTTACTCTCCTTCTCTCTCAGTTTTTCAGTAAAGCAAGAACACACACTGTTTTGTATTTTAAACACACACATTTCTACACCTTAAGGCACACACGCCCAGCCACCTAACACTTGATATAACTTACCCATTCTTTATGCCAACACATGTAAAGGTGACCATATTAATAGGTTAATTACGCTCGACTCCCCCAATTTTTAAGTGATTTCAAAATCGACCCACTAGTATTTTCACACATTAAATTTCTATGAATGGATCTCACTAATACATCATTAACAGGCTCCACCACCCTAATGTATGCTTACATACATTATGCCTATGAAAGATTTAATTTAATTAACTTTTTAATAATTTCACATAAATTACAATTTAACTCACAAAATTAAGGTAATATGCATGCAATGCATAATCGGGTCTCACACCTTAAGACGATGATCTATATGTTACGACTTGCAAAACTCAGAAGGTTACTATCCTATTGTTGAAATTTTTAGAAATCTTCATATCATGTGACCAAATGTTAAGAGATCCATGATAAATTTGTCTATGTTAAAATGGTTAGAGTGGGGCTATTTTCACCTTTTAAATTTTCTTTTCCATCTCATTTAGTTCTTTTATTTTAAATTATTAAGTTCACTCCATCTATATTCACCTCATTAATTATTAAACTCACCCTATCTATATTCACTAATCAAATATTAAATTCATTCAATTTTATTTTAACCTATTATATAGATAATGATCAAAATTTTATTTTGATGTATTATTTCAATACAAAAATATTTCAAAAGTATAATAAAAATTAATAATTATTTTTAAAATGCTAATCAAAATATTTTAAAATACACCAAAATATTTCAAAAATATTTTTGAAAATATATCAAAATATTTTGAAATAATATAAATTACCACGGAATTTTCAAGTTTTGTTTTAATTACTATTTTTGTTTCACTTTAATTACCTATATAATAGGTTGGAATAAAATTAAATGAATTTAATTTTTAATTAGTGAATATAGATGTGGTGGATATAGATGAGGTGAATTTAGTAATTTGAAATAAAAAAAATAAATGAAGTGGAAAAAGAGATTTAAGTAATGAGAATAGCCTCACCCAACTGGTTATTTCTTCTTTTTTTTTTTTTTTGTACTGGCTTAAAATGTTTATTTCGTTACCAAACAATCTTGACAAGGATATCTGGAACCGGTTTATTAAACAATTAAATGTGGGGTTCAGAAGCCCAGACCAATCACCATGGATGTAAACTGAAAAAAATCCAACAACCGGTTAAGGACGACAAAAAAAATAATAATAATAAAATAAAATAAACAGAACAAGACTTCCCTGCATGAAGCTACCAGCCCACTTTTCCTAACTTAAAAACTGTTTGTTTCTGCCAAAAATACATTAACCGCAGCCATGTCTATTGGCGGACAATAATCCTACTTGGATTACGTGCCCATCAAACACAGATAGGATTTCCAACAATAAACAGCAAATTGTGTTTAGATGATGATCCTCCACCTACATTGAATCAGCCCATAAAAGCAACTTTGCAGAGGAAAGAGAAGACAACCTATAACCGCAGAACAATGGACGTAAGATAATTTCAAGAAATTGTGCAATGTCAATGAGGGCATTTAACCACCGGTTCAAGGATGTACAGCCAACACATCTCGAAAATAAATGTAACAAACTAATCCCATGATTCCGTTCCAAAAAAAAAAGGCAGAACTAGTCCCATGACATCTCCCATTCGTTGTTAAAGATGTGTCTACTCTAGTGCTCAAAAGCATGTCATCTCCGCATTACACGGTGTCGTTCTCTTTTGCGGAAGCGCTCAAGCATGAAATCATCTGTTGCTGCTTGTCTTCGTCCCACTGTATCTCTACTAGAATCACTGCTTCTTGGTTCCAGACCATTTTCTTCTGCACCCCTGTCCTTGTACAGCTCAGGATGTTCTACAAGTAAAACTCACTTCTATTCAGCACAAGTTAAAATTGTACAAGTAAAAAATAAATGCCTGTGCGACTACACCAACCTCACTTAGATCCGCAAGTAACAATCGAAGGACCAGTAACAATAAGTAGCCGCAGTTCTGGTAGTACCATAGTTGCAGGATCCAACAGATCTTATTCAAATGAAGTAATCTATACTATCCACATAATATATAACGAACTTTATGGATAACCATAAAATCTAAAGAAGATTCTACGGATCCTTGACATCACAATATATTTGGAAAAGTGAGCCTAATCTATTTAATATTACAGTTAGAAAGTTAAATTATCAATTTATAAAAAACAATAGTTAAGATTAATTCAATTTTCATCTACTTTGATTTATTAGTACAAAATTCATCCCAAAAAAACTTCTCACCTAAAAACATAACATCAACTTCTCTGACCGGCGTCCAATGACATACAAATCAACCAACACACTCCCCAATGTCAAATAATCACATTAATCCACACCTACCTCTTTCTTCTTTTCTTTATGTTTCATTTTAATTTTAAATTGTATAATTAAAGAAAAGAAAAAATAAATAAATTTTTATTTAAAATATAAATATTGTACGACTGATGTTCAATTTTTTAGTCTTGCAAAGTATCTTCAGGTACAAGATTATTGCTAGTATACAATATTATCATTGGATAAAAGATAATTTCAAGTAAACCAGGCCACAGGGATGTTGGAATCCCCAAATGTATCCTCAAAAAAACATAAACCAATGGAAGCCGCAGTATAATACTACTTACTGAGCACGTCTGTGTGTTGTGTGTGTCCAAGTGGTGAAGGGACAAAAAGCAATAGTAACTGACCCCTTCTAAGTTTTTCGGCATAGTCCTTGCCACGTTGGAAATAATCTGCACTGTAACTTGAGGGAACACCAGAGTCAGTTTTGTTGTAACCCATGAGCCTCTTCTCCTGTAAGAGCTTTTTGGCAGCCTCTGTGTCCTCAATATTCCTCAGTTTATATCTGCATTGAAAAGTAATACATCAATACACATAAATCTGTGTCAGTTGTCCCCATGCCAGGGGTGCTCAATGTCAATCTATGAGGCACAGATTTGGTCCCAAAGATCCCTTTTCTTTTAAAAAGGTCGCATGTCATGGCATAATTAGGTGCCCTAAAATTTAACGAGTGAACAAATAATCATTTTTAACCATGAAAGGCCACAAAAGATGGGAAAAGGCATACTCGATGGGAAGCTGAACTTCAGCAATCCCAGTAGTCCACTGAGTAGAAGTTTCTTTTGAGTTTCGCCTCTTCACCTGAACAAAAACATGGGGGAAGTTCAAGGATATATATTTCATTTCATAATACACCTAATATGAAAATGAACCAATATTTTGTGATTGGAATTCAGAATGGACCACAGTCATAGACACACAAATACACAGTAAGATATATATATATATATATATATATATATATAGAGAGAGAGAGAGAGAGAGGGAGGAGAAAATACACTTGAAAATGCCACTTGTCCACAACTAAGACTGATCGAGGCCAAGATCTTAATCGCTACTGGAAACTAGAATTCAGAGCAGCCGATGCACGTATAAAATATCTCTATTAATACTATGATGATAGCTTTTAAAACTTTTTGAAACTTTTTAAATTAATGTGTTAGGTTTATTTCTTTTTAGACCTACAAAAGGGAAAGTAAAAAAAAGCAATTAAGATGGGTGGATTAGATCAACAAAGTGTTCAAATTTAAATTAGCGGGAGGGTTGAGAGAGAGAGGGAAGTGGTTGAGGGTAGTTGAGAGAGTAAAAGACAAGGTGAGTGGATATTGCATATTTGTTTGGGATACAGGTAGCTTGAGCAAACAATTGAGGATTATGCCCAATAGTGAAAATTTGGTTTTTGTGCATAGGTTTGATCAGCTTGAAAAAAAAAATTTGACAACAAAATAAAAATAGAGAAAAAATTTACAATTCTAATTCCAAAATATTTAAATATCGATTCTGAAATATCCCAAGCCATTTCAAAACACAAGTACTTTTATTTTCAATTACTGATTCATTTCGATTTTCACCCAAATTGAAAGGATTCAAACGTATTGTCCGAAATGAAACAAAACATATGCCAAATGTTGAAGACCCCAAGAGACCAAGCCAGATATCTCCCTTAATGATACAGTACAGATAAGTTCTTCAAATGTGCTCCAGGAAAATTTGTTGCATCCCAATGAACAAGTAAGCCCAATGAGTGCATTATACTCAAAAGAAAATTACGAGGATGTACCTAATGCCAATCACGAGATGATTGGCTATGAGCTAAGAGAGGCCAATAACTATTTAGTCAACAGACAAGGAACAGCGATGAAGGAAAGCCTACAAAAATGCGAACAAATATATGCTAAAGAATTGAATTCTTATAATAGAAAACCTAAAAGTATTTCGTCCACAGCCATCTGAATTAGCTAAGATGAAGCTTTACTGTGAAGAGTTAGGTTTGTGTTACAAAGCAAGACATTTTCAAAGGACACATTTAGCAATCTGATAATATAGCATAAAATATAGAATTTGGAATGACTATACCAGTGAAAAGGTAGAAATGCACCAAAATCGTCTTAAATAGTTTGAACATGTTTACAGAAAATCTGTTACTGAACTAGTGAGGAACAATGATACCTACAAATGGTAATACAAGTGCCAGATCTAGACCGAAAAGGACTCAAATAAGTAGTAAAATAGGATATCATAACTAGTGGATTAGCCGAAAACATAGTCATTGATAGAGCTCGATAGTGAAACAGAATTCATACAGTCGACCTCAAATATTTGGGACAAGTCTTATTCGGTTGAATTGTGTTGACCAGAAGAGAATAGTGCAGGTAAGAAGAGCAAATCACTTTGAAAAGAAAGAGAAGAACAAATAAATAAATCCAATTCACTCACTTTCAGATGCTCTGGAATTTTGTATAATTGATCCTCTGCATGTTTGATATCATTTTCAACTTGATTCGCAGCATCCATGTTCTTCCCCCTTTTCTTCGCCAATTCTTGTTCAACATATCTCAACCTGCTCGGTACAAAAAGGAGCATATACATGCTTGTTGAAATCTACAAGTACATTCTTTGAACTTTTTTTTTTTTTTGAACATTAAACTATTATTAAATTCATAGAAACTAAAAATCAAATTCCAAGAGAAATAAAACCTAGTTCCAAATAATTTGGCCTTTCAGTAACACACGTCGTGAGTTATTTGCAAATCAGAAGCATAGAAGAACACAATATATTCCTTAAAAGAAGTTTTAGGCCCCTTGTTAATCTATTCCAAAGAGACAACACAACCTCAAAGGATAAGTTCTTAGATAGCTTGTCTTCTCCAACAGTGCATTGTTCTATGTCTAATTTCCCAAATCAGAAAACTCAACAATCTCCATACACATTTAGTTAACATCAAAAGAGATAAAGCTATTCCAACTGCCTTTCTTAGGAACATAACGTGATACAACATTTACTATGATAACTAACTCAAATCAACTTTTTAAGAAATTAAACCTCCATTTGTTATGAACTGGTCTTGTGTTGACATGCAAGTTGACATGCATACAACAGACTGCCATATTCCCTCAACTTTAGGGACTACCTCCTGAATTCTCCAAAGTGGATATCCGAGCATAGGTGGAATTTAAACTTTTTTTGGGTTCCACCTATGATCATAGTTGTTGAATTGCAACACATCTCATATGGTCTCCTTTTTTTCAAATCCATGTATCCTATTATATTGCATTGTATGACTGTGTCAGTACCGTGTACCCTATTATATAGGTATACGCACAAGAAACACAAGTACGTTGCAAGATTAACCATTGTCAATGTGCAACAAATACCATGATAAAAATTATAGCTAAAAGAGGCAAAAAGCATGAAGTTATCTATAAGAACTATGCTTGAAATAGTTGATATCCTCTGGATAGACAATAAGAAACATTGCATCAAAAGGTAGGAGATTTCAGTCTACCCACAAATCCATGAAATAAACTTCCTCATCCACGTTCTTCAATCTGTAATTTTAGTTTGTGAACTTTAACCAGTCACATTGAAAGTTGAGGACGTCGTCGACATCAAAAGGGCCGATATCCAAACAATTGAGAACGTTGAGGAATTTGTCAAGCTCTGTGAACTCTCAAGGCAATGGGGTAAAGAAGAGTGGGTGGTCTTGATGTGAATCTTCAGGTAGTGTTCTATTTGGGGGACAAGAGTGTAGGGTCTAAGGGGCAGTGTACAAATTCTTAGTTTCTTGTTTGTTTCCAATAGCAGATGATTGTTTAGCAAAATGATATCTTCTTGGTTTATGCACCATAAGCTGATGACTATAGTAAGGAATTGGTGGGAAGAACGTATTCTTGTTCAAGATAAATGGCTCACTCCGGGAAAAGTTGGAGGGGATTTTATGTTTTTGGTTTCCTTGTGAAACCGAAAAGAATACTTACACAAGTGGGGTACTGAATAGAGGAGAGTGATTGGATGGTTTATGGGATCGCATATATTTTTTGGCATTGATGTAGGAATCTATTACGAAGGAGTTCAATGGTTTCTGCTTTTTTGTATTTCAGCGGATTGTTAGGCTTAATGTGATACATAATTTTACGATTGGAGAATTGTATTTTTCATTTCACGGATGGACATGTGGTCCATCCCGTAGTTGTTTTGTTTCCTATCAGCTACTACTGCACTGTCTCAACCCACGTGCTATTCAGAAGTATACCTCAGTTTTTTTGTCACTTATCCTTGTTTAGTTTTCTTTGCACCCAACCGAATTTTTTTAGACGACACTTAGCCATGTTGTCCTCGATGGCCAAATAAACAAAAACTTCTCAAATTTCGAAAGTTAGAAAGCAATTGACAGAAACTATGAGACCAATTTCAATTACTAGTTCCAAACTGGAAGAAAATCAATAAGACACGAAATAAAAATAATCAACGAACAAAGAAAAGAAGCATAGAAGAGTTTGAAACTTGACATTACATATTAGGGTCTTCGACCATAACAGCAGTTTCCTGGGCGAAGGTATCTTGCAAGACCAAGTCGTCCTTTTCCCCATCTCCTTCGTTATTCTTATCGCTTGCTTTGTGAACCAAACCACCGCCACCATTGGTGGGGCCACCACCCACCGTAGGCTGCGTCGTTGTAGCAGGTATTGCAGGAATTCCATACTTCTTCTCCCTCTGTTTCTGAAGGAATTTGACCTCCTCTAACGCCAATCTGATTGCACGAGGGCAGGGCAGGGCAGGGTTTAATTTGTTAGTTAATTAATAGATTCTATTTTTAGTGAACTCTACACATAATAATATAACACATGTAAGTATGAATGAATGAACATAGACGGATGACGAAACAAGGCTGGGAATCGGAAGTAATTCCGTCGATTAGATTTAGTCAGAATAGAGTAATTTGGAAGAACAGGGTATATAGATAGATGTACGTACCTCCTTTCTTGCTCGTCATCGAAATCGTTGTTTTCAAACGTGTGATCTTCCTCCCCTTCGTCTGCTATATTTCTTTTCCGGAAATTCTTGCCCTTCATCTTTTCTTGCCTTTTGCCTTCGGCACACAACCAATGATCCTCAAAATTTGTGGCTGCTTGATTCACCCCAGTTCGTACAGATTATTTGATAATAACGGCGAACCACGCGTTGCCCTTGGAATGTTTTTGTTTTAATAAAGAAAAACCGGCATCACTGTTTTTTTTTTTTTCCCTTCTTCTTTTGCATTTTCAAAAGTCTTTGGCATGATTTTGGGTATTTTCACTTTTTTTTTCTTTTACTCAATTGTTAACTTATTTTTAACCCCATCAGAGAGCACGATATAATATATAATTTGAGCATCTAAAAAATTAATTATATTATATTAAATAATATTAATTTAAAATAAACTACTACCTATTACTTAATTTAATTTAAAAAATAAATGACACTTTCTTTTAAATACATGACCTAAAAAAAATATCAAAATACCTTTTATGAACAATGTTTTGAAATAAATATTGTAACAATTAATAAAAATTAAATAAGGTATGTAGATAAACTTCAAACTTCTATTGGTGCTTTAGGTGAAATCTTTTTCTTCTTTTTTTGTAAAATTAATTTAGCAGTGTTAATTGAACTCTTTATTTAAACTCTCTAAAATAAAAAATTTATTAGAAAAAATTTTACAAGTTAATTTTTGATGATGCACAAATTAGTTTGCACACCACTAGTTAAGTTATAATATAAAATGCAGTAAGTAGAAAGAGAGAGAAGACAAGATTTATAGTGGTTCGGTCAATACGACTTACGTCCACTTTGAATGGCTAGGTTAACCGGAATTTTATTATCTCCGGTATGGAGAGAGAGCACATGATTACAAGCTTTGAGAGCAGAGGAGAGAATTATACTCAAATAAGGCTGATGCCCCCCAAGTGTCAGAGGAACTTACAATTTATAGTGGTTTGGTGTAGTAATTGTATGACTATTCTAACGATCATTATGGCTTAGGATCGTTTGATAGTAAATAGGTAGCTGATCTGACAGAGACGATCTATCATCTTCTCAACGGGCGAGGTGTGACGGCTGGTGTGCTCTCCAAAGGACTTGGTCAAGGATGAGGGAGATTGACTCTCTCCAGGCTGCGAAGGTGATGCTCCTAGATGCTCCTTGGTGGCATAGAGGAAGCTCTTTGATGACCCTTACTCCAAGGTGGTAGAGGAGACCCTTGGATGACCCTTACTCTAAGGTGGTAGAGGAGACTCTTGGATGACCCTTACTCCAAGGTGGTAGAGGAGACTCTTGGATGACCATGCATGCTCTCTTACAGCTCCTTGATCTTGATAAAGTTATCCAGATGTAGGCTCCTTTGGGCTTAACTAGTTGGATCTCTTGACATTGGGCTTTTAGCTCAGACCAGACTTACAACATGGGTTGGGTCTGGCCATCATTTGCCCCCCAATACCCTGCGTTCAACAGAACTTGGAAAGGAGGGCATTTAAGTTGAATTTGAATTTTCGGTTGACCAGCATAACTAGAAAAACTTCAGGAGGCCAAAACATCCGTTTATAGGCCTTTTTTGGACTTTCAACAGTATCAATCATAGCCAAAGGTTGTGGATCTTGTAGGGCTTGCCGAGAGTTTTGATTTTATATATTATAAGCCTCATTTTGAGCAACGGAGCAAAAATTACGGTCAAAACTTCGAGTCAGAGTTGGGTGCATGTTTTAGGCTAGCAGACCACTTCTGGGCAGGCACATACTGTGCTGGGTGAGTAGAAAACCTCCTAGGCGAGCTGAATTTTTTTTTTAAAAAAAAAAAAAAAAAAAAAAACTTTGGGAGGCCAAAACACCTCTTTCTGAACTTTTTCTGAAAAGCTCATTACCAAAGGTAATGAGATTTTCTCACCTCGTCAAGAGCTTCGATTTGGTGTATAAAATAAGTCCCATTTTGAGTAACGAACCAAAAGTTACAGTCAAAATAGCAAGCAGAGAGTCAAAGGCGCGTTTTTGGGCGAACAACCAGCTTTTGGGTGAGCAGGTCACCTCCTTGGCTAGCAAGCCACCTCTAGGCGAGCATACAACTTCCTAGGCAATTTTTTTTTTTTAAAAAAATTTCTGGAGGCCAAAACACCTCTTTTCGGACGTTTTTTTTGGACTTTGTTTGGAAAGCTCATTACCAATGGTAGTGAGTTTTGCTCAGCTTGTCAAAAGCTTCGATTTGATATATAATATGTCCCGTTTTGACTTACGTAGCAAAATTTACGACCAAAATAGCGAGCAAACGTGCTGGCGTGCGATTTTGGGCGAGCAAAAGGCCTTGGTTGCCTTTTAGTATACTGACTTGTGTAGATTGGGCGAGCAAGAGGCCTTGAGTGAGCTAGGGAATTGCCTAAGCGTCATTCCAGGTCGTCTTGAGAAGCAGTCTGCTCTCGTAGGAGGGGTGGTCTGGCGTGGAGATGGGAAGGCAGGCGTCGAAAAGGGCCTGGGCAAGCAGGCGGCATCGCTGTGCGTTGCTATAATTCGCACAGTAGGTGAGGGGGTTGCTCGAGTCTTCATGCATGTTGGCCTGCACGCTGGGCGTGCTGATTTGGTCCATCAGGCGCCTAGGGGCGCTAATCTTGGTGAGTAGGGAGGTGGAAAGAAGGCTGGTCTTGGCATGAAGACACCAAGAGGCGCCATTTTGGGCAAGCACAAATGGTTGGGCGCCTCCAGGACTACTTCGCTTGTACAAGAAAAGGGGGCCAGACACTCTCTAGGCACTGGACTGCCCATTTGGGCGAGCAGAGAGGGTCAGGCGCCTCTTTAAGCACTGAGTTGAGTAGTGCAAGCTACAAGAAAATTTTGGGTGCCACTTTTGGTAATGATTCGAGGAGTTTAGGTAGCCAATGAGCTTTGGATGCCCCTGTAGGGAGTTTAGTTCTCACCTATGTAGGCGGGGTTGCCTAGGAATTTCTTGGCAAGCCCGGGGGCAGAGTACGCCAGACACTTTCAGCGGTGATGGTCTAGCTCCTCTCAGTGCACCTTCTCAAAATCAAATTCTTCCATGATATTCTAAGGATTGTTTCTGCTTATCACATCCCCCAACAGTTCTATGCGCCGAGCTGAAATGGGTGAACTTGCTTATGATGACAAAAATAATGTTATTCCAAACATTAAAATATTTAACATGATTACTTGAAGAGAGAGACAGGCTACTTGCGCGAGAGCAAGACAGAGTTTGAGGATTGCTCGTGAGAGAGCTACACCTTTTGAGACCGAATTTTTGGCGACCCATGAGAGAGCCTTTAAGCTTGAGGTATAGGCTATTTGCTTGAGAGTAGAGCAGATGCCAAGCTTTTTTGGCGACTTGTGAGAGAGCTGGGAGATAGAGTGCCTATTTGAGAACAGTGCAGAGGTAAAGCTTTTTTGGCGACCCACGAGAGAGCCGCTAAGCTGGAGATAGGTTGTCTGTTTGAGAACAGTGCAAAGGTAGGCAAGTTTTTTGGCGACCCTCGAGAGATCCGCTAAGCTAAAGATAGACTACCTGTTTAAGAACAGTGTAGAGGTAAGCCAAACTTTTTGGCGACCCTCGAGAGAGCCGCTAAGCTGGAGATAGACTACTTGTTTAAGAACAGTGTAGAGGTAGGCCAAGCTTTTTGGCGACCCTCGAGAGAGCGGCTAAGTTGGAGATAAACTACCTATTTAAGAACAGTGTAGAGGCAGGTCAAGATTTTTGGTGACCCTCAAGAGAGCCGCTAAGCTGGAGATAAACTACCTGTTTAAGAACAGTGTAGAGACAGGTCAAGTTTTTGGTGATCTATGAGATGATTCACCTCCCTTGGACCTGTTGATTTCCTCAGCATTCATAAAATTTTGAACTTTTGTCAATAGTTCTGACATACTCTTTGGTAGGTGTTTCATCACAGTGACAAAGAAGCTCGATGATCGAAGGCCTCCCAAGAAGGCGGTCATGCTAACTTTTTCATCGGGCTCTTCGACCTAAAGGATCTCCTCATTAAAACAAGTGAGGTAGCTTTGCAGGCTTTCATCTCGATCCTGCTTTATGCTGAGCAGGTGAGTGGCAGGCTTCTGGTGACGACGTTCTCCAATAAAGTGAAACATGAAGGACCTGCTCAACTCAGCAAATGAGCCGATGGAAGCGGGGGTGATCTTGGCGAACCACTGTCGAGCGGATCCCTTCAAGGTGGTTGGGAACGCTCTGCACATGATTTTGTCAGGGACATTGTGTAGTTGCATCAAGGTCTTAAAAGTTTCAAGGTGGTCCAATGGATCCTTCGTACCATCAAAAGTTTCGACAGATGACATCTTGAAATTTTGAAGGAGTGGGTAGTTCGCCACGTCAGGTTTGAAAGGTGTGTCAGTTCGACTTATAAGGTAATCCACTATCTCGGGTTCTCGTGCCTTCATGGCGTTGAAGACATCACCCAATTGATTCTGTACCTTCTCTTGGAATTACCATGGATATGGCTCCCATGCTCCAAGCTTTGGTTTTCACCCTCATCCTCTTAGAAAAGAGGGTCTCCATCATGAAAAGAGGGAGCTGGAAGAAGAGGTGGAGGTCCCTTGTGGGGAGCTCCCCTGTGCGGGGCGCCTGAAGGGGCTCCAAAGGGGGCGCTCAGATGAGGAGCACCCATGTGGGGAGCTCCTTGACGCCCAGGGCATGGAGCTCCTCTGACTTGAGGTCCAAGTTGTGCTCTTCCTCCTAGATGAGGATCACCCATGTGGGGAGCTCCTTGACGCCCAGGGCGTGAAGCTCCTCTGACTTGAGGTCTAGGTTGTGGTCTTCCTCCTAGATGAGGAGCACCCATGTGGGGAGCTCTTTGACGCCTAGGGCATGGAGCTCCTCTGACTTGAGGTCCAGGTTGTGCTCCTCTTCCTAGATGAGGAGCGCCCATGTGAAGAACCCCTTGACGCCCAAAGAGCATTAGTTGTAGGATCTGTTAGTTCTAGGCCGCAAGTTGCTGCATGGTCTCGAGCATCTACTGCTCATTTGGGGCAAGATTGGTTGGTTGAGGTGCAATCTCCTCCTCTCTTGGTGGTGGGTTATCTTTAGGCTGATTCATGGATCTGTTGGTGATCAACTTTGACTCGGCAAAAAAAAGTGGCTAGGTGAGAACTGTCGTTCCCACAGACGGCGCCAAACTGATGAT